GAATATGAAGGAGTGTGGGGAAACAGGTAGATGAACGGGTTGGAGCAAATATGTAGACGCCATAAACAATTTTCTTTCGACAGTGTAGAGAAACAAGACGAATGTGGAGGAGACGTTCAAAGGAATAAAGAGAGTGACGAAGAGAAGACCAGCAAAGATAGGAGGTGAAAGAAAGGAAGGAGAGAAAGAGTGGGGGGGGTGGGGGGGGTGGGGGGGGTGGGGGGGGGGTGACCCATGGTATCTCCACCTCACCCCTCCTACCTTCTCTCCCTCCTCCCCACGGTCCTACTCTCCCTTCCCACCCACCTTTCCACTGAATTACCTTATTGACTGACCTGAGCCAGGCATCCAGCGGGATTTCTGTGCATGCTACATCACTCCTGCTGCTTACCCATAATGACTGACGTTTCTGGGAATTTCGGGGTATATATACATATATATACACACACACACATTATATATATATATATATATATATATATATATATATATATATAACTAAGGGATCCTGTACGCCAGCAGAGTGCTCCTGGCAGTATGGGTTCGAGTCACTTCTGGGGTGTGAGTTTTCAGTTGCATATAGTCCTGGGAGACCATTCAGGCTTGTTTGCATATATATATATATATATATATATATATATATATATATATATATATATATATATATATATATATATATATATATATATATATATATATACAAACATGCATATACGTACGGAGTGAATGTTGAAAATAGTGGGTAGACTGCATATTTTAGGACAGTCAGAAAGCTCTCAACACAGTACCTGACGTGAGCCAGGTGTACAAGGTGGGATACGAAGCAGTTCGATCCCCCGATGCTCCAAGTGTTATGATAAGTTATTAAAGACTGAACGCTCTTCCCTGATAACTGCAAATCCCTCTGGGCTCTATTTATCCTCCATGGATATATTATTCCCTCCAACTAAATAATAATCAACTCTGTTCTTTGATGAAACATACTTTTATGTTAATTATAAGATAACTACAAAGGAATTAAATGCAACAAATTATTATGCAATTATTTAGATATAATGTTGAGACAAATGGCCTAATTAAGCGTGGTGCTCTCGTGACAAATGACTTAACTAAGCTTGTTTTTGTGTGCTTAAGAATAAAGGATTTATTCTTAGACTTTATTGCCTTGATATACCTTAGTTCTTATTACTCATTACACTGGAGTGTTGGGAGTTACTCATTACACTCCCAAGAATGTGTACAATCACAGTATTCGCTACTCTCCTATATAATGCTATAAAAGGCTCATAATGCTATATTAATTATGAGAATAAAGGCTCATAGTCAAATGTCGTTTGTCACATTCTCCCATCATGCTCCCTAACATGTCACATTCCCCCATCATGGTCCGTAACACGTCACATTAACCCATCATGCTCCCTAACATGCTCCCATATCGTCCCAAATCCTTATCCTGACCCCTTCCCAGTGCTATAATGTCGTAATGGCTTGGCGCTTTACCCCCATGATAAATGTCATTGTACACCGTGACATCTGTCATATTCCATAAATCATGTTCCTCTCAACACGCTACATTCGTAAACATCTTGCAATATTCGTCAGAAAAAAATCATAAAATATTATTAATTAATGAACTCAACAAATATTTCTCCCCAGTTTGTCATCAGAACTATTTAATTCTTCATAATTATCAAATTAAAAATAATTTGGGTTGTAAAAATATTTCAATATAATAAAATTTCTACGTGAAAAATTATCAGCTCGTGGGAATTTCCACCTGCAGTTCGGATATTTTTTTCATGTCCTGACAAACACTGGAATTTTCTCTTTGATTCTAAACGGAATTTTATATAATCGTAATGGCTCTGACGAGGCCCACGAATAAAAAATTTCAGATTTGTAAACAAAGGGGAGCAGGCCTTAAGTATTATAGGAACTCTTAGATAAAGAGTTGGTTAGGTTATGTAAAATTTGCTTAGAATAGGCTAAGTTAGGGTTGGTTAGATGGGATTAGGATAGATAAAGTTAGATTTGGTTTGGTCCAGTCGATAGAGCTCATGGCCCAGTCGACAGAGGCCGAATCTCTAGTCGATAGAGCTCATGGCCCAGTCAATAGAGCTCATGGGGCCAGTCAATTGAGCTTCGGTCTCCTCTATTACCCCAGACAACACCATTCCCCATCTGCAGTCAAGTCCTCCCCCCCACTCCACTCCCTCAGGCTCCTTAGGTAAAAAAAAAAAAAGAGAAACGCCAGAAATGGGTAAAACAGAATACAAAAATCAATCGACTTGAGAATGGTCCAGGACGGATCGAAACGTCGTCGTCCCTTCACATTCTAGTGTGTGATCTGGTCATCAGAATAAAAAAAAAGTCTGTATCACTAAGCTGAGCCTAAGGTTATGTTACTGATATTTTACAAAGAATCTTACAAAAATCTAATGTTTTTTTGTAGATAAAAGTTATTGAGGATGATGATATGTAAATGGAGTAGACAAGATTATCAAATCATCTCAAGATAAGATGTCTGAAATCCTCAGTGATGGTCTATTCTCTAGGGATTATCTAATAATAGGGAAGTAAAGAAAATGTAAAACAGAAGGGGGAGTTGGACTGGTGCGCAAAATGGGGATTTGAATGTCAAAGGAAACTACAGTATTAGATGTAAATATATACAGATATTCCATCACAGGATTGTTAAAGGCAAGAGCATTAAAGATCGTATTAAAACTGATCTACAGATCTTAAGAACAGATGGTTTGAAGGAGGAATATATAAAGAGAAATAAATATAGCATAAGTATCGTACAATAATGAACACAATGATCAAATAGAATGAAAGCAACATTATTTATCGTTGAAGATATTAACAGTACTGAAACAGGAAGTTGATAGAACCCTGTGGTTGAATGAAGATTGAGTAGGATAAAATTATATATGTCAAGGAAAGAAACTACTTAGCAAAGTATGTCAAAGTTGAAACCGCATCCAAGTGTGAGAATCAGGTAACTTGACAGGACTTAGTCCTAAGCATGAAGAAAGTCATGTCTACGAGGAGTCACTTTTGCTATACACCTGTGTTCATTCACATCCTAATACTACGCACATATGTTCATTTATTGCTTTATACAATGCATGTGTTTACATTTATTTACAAAATAATATACTATGCAGGAATGACTTATTCACCAGACTTCCTGATTGTGGGATCGAAACACCGTAAAATGACTTACAGGTATTTAATTGCTTAAATATTTTCTTAGCGAATTTATCAGATCTTCTTTATTACTCTATCTGTCTATGAACTCAGTGTAAAACTCTTCGCATTTACGTAAATAATAGTAAATGGTGTTCTTCTCTCTCTCAGAAGAACACCAGAAAACAGGTCTCAGAAGAACACCAGGAAACATCTCATATAACAACATGGTTGTGTCTGCCTTAGCGTGTTCACGCCATTTGTCGAACGTTAAATTTGAGGTGGTTTAGATTAGCCTGAAACGTACTAATCTCGGTAACCCACTTAACCTATCGGGGCCTTTGCCAATTTCTCGACTGAAGCGTCAGTATCACGGTGCTTTTAACGTGACAAAAAACGCTGCAGAATTTTTATTTCTAGGGTAGACTGCATCAGATTGGAAGTGCATTAAGTGTGAGGACAGGTATAGGATTAAAGAATATACAAATCACTAGAAGCAGACGAGGAGTCACAATAACGTGGCTGAAATATGTTGACCAAACCACACACTAGAAAGTGAAGGGACGACGACGTTTCAGTCCATCCTGGACCATTTTCAAGTCGATTGTGAATGGTCCAAGACGGACCGAAACGTCGTCGTCCCTTCATTTTCTAGTGTGTGGTTTGGTCAACAAATCACTAGAATATTCATGATGTTTTTCCATGGCAATAGCTGTTACAAAAGCACATAGGAAGCTGTTTATTTACATATAAAATGTGTGTGTAAAAAGCCTTGTTAACTTGTGAAGGCAGCTGTTAATGCCAGGCTACAGTGATTCTTTCTCAAGTGTGATAATTCACGTGAGTGCAGAGATTCTCTCTTTCTTAGAATCAGGTGGCCAGAGTCCAGCCTGGGGCCAGATTCACGAAGCAGTTACACAAGTACTTACGCACCTGGGGCCAGATTCACGAAGCAGTTACGCAAGCACTTACGAACGTGTACATCTTTCCTCAATCATTGACGGTTTTGGTTACATATATTAAAAAGTTTACAGGCATGAAAACTTCCCAATTAGCTGTTGTTATTGTTATAAACAGCCTCCTGGTGCTTCGGAGCTCATTAATTAACTTTTTAATAATTGTAAACAAAGCCGCCAAAGATTGAGAAAAGTTGTGCTTGCGTAAATGCATCGTGCATCTGGCCCCAGGTGCGTAAGTACTTGTATAAGTGCTTTGTGAATCTGGCCCCAGGTGCGTAAGTACTTGTATAACTGCTTCGTAAATCTGGCCCCAGGTGCGTAAGTACTTATGTAACTGCTTCGTGAATCTGGCCCCAGGTGCGTAAGTACTTGTGTAACTGCTTCGCGAATCTGGCCCCAGGTGCGTAAGTACTTGTGTAACTGCTTCGTGAATCTGGCCCCAGGTGCGTAAGTACTTATGTAACTGCTTCGTGAATCTGGCCCCAGGTGCGTAAGTACTTATGTAACTGCTTCGTGAATCTGGCCCCAGGTGCGTAAGTACTTGTGTAACTGCTTCGTGAATCTGGCCCCAGGTGCGTAAGTACTTGCGTAACGGCTTCGTGAATCTGGCCCCAGGTGCGTAAGTACTTGTGTAACTACTTCGTGAATCTGGCTCCTGGTGTACAGCACATTTACCTCGGGGTAGGTGTGGCGGTGTGTGTGTGTCCCTTCACGAGGGCGGCTGTCCGCCCATCTGAGCGTGCGCCAGGAGCGCATGTGGGCGGAGTCGGCTGGCACGCGAACTCTACCTCTTAGGTGACCCTCCTCCTCTCTTCAGCCTGGTGCCGCTGCTCGGTGCCAGTCTGGCAGCCGAGCGCGGAGTGAGCGAAGGTTCTCGCTCGCGCTCCCCCTCGCTAACTATAGTGCTACGCTCGCTCGCTAACTCAGGGCTGCGCTCTCTCGCTAACTCTAGTGCTGCCCTTCTCGCTAACTGTAGTGATTCTGCGCTCCTCTCTAGTGCGGTGCGCCATCGCTAACTCTAGTACTGCGCTCTCTCGCTAACTCTAGCGTAGCACTCTAGTGTTTGGTAACTCTTGCTCTACAAGTCCTGCTTCAGTACGCAGATATCTGATGATAGTTCAACGATGCTATTAAAATGTGTTAGTAATTATCTTCTCTTAGTTGTCTAGAAAAATTGGAAACAAGATGATATCCTTTACGATATACTACTGTTGCTCTTGACACCAGTGAAAGACGCTGTTAAGATATACTGTTGAAAGTGCGAACAAAGACAAAACAAGAACAGAAATAACATAAAGACGTCATTAAAGTTATGTAAATGACGCAAGTACAATTGTAAATTGACGTTGCTGCATGCAACACATCCAAGAGTCGTGTGCAACTGTCAAAGATTTATTTTTTTGCAGTTTTTCTAGTGGGGATAATAAAGCAACATTAGAACACACAAAATAAAACACTGTATAGATAATTGTGAGTGTCAGTAACACCTGTGGAGTCTTTATTGATACTATAACGTCAAATACTCAACCCACCCCAACCCTCCTAAGTTCCTTGAAACTAGTGGGTGTTGTTGAGGTGGGGTTCAGGTGGGTTCAGGTGGGCTCAGGTGGGTTCAGGTGGGCTCAGGTGGGAGAGGTTGGGTGCCAACACTACCACAACACAACATTAAGAGATATGCTCTGTCTCCCAGCTGACGCTTGACACACTCAGGGCCAGCACCTCAAGTTAATTTATAACCTCACACTCAGAGCTGGCAATTCTGTACTTGGTTACTTGGATGAACTGATCTGCTTGGTGAAGATTTTTGATTTGACGTGAATGTTATACTTTGATAACTACCTTCTTATGACATGAAAATTTAAGTGAAAATTTCATCCTGACAAAAAAAAAAAAACATTTTTTCCTCTAAATATATTTTGTGTACAGTGAATCAAATATATAAGTGAGGATTTACGTGGAAAATATATATATATATCTTGAAAGAGTGAGTGTGGAGCCACAAAGTTGTGTTATCTTTATGCACAGCGTAAATAAAGAAGACCAAAGACTGTGAGCCACAGATAAGCTGGGAATGTAATTACTAAAACCAGCTGGGATAATCAAGCATTAATATCATAAAATCTTTAAACAGCAAACTTCCCTTCCAGTTGTTGACATTCGTACCCTCATTAATAGATTGTTTGACACTCTTGTTACCTCATAATTTCCCTAATCAGCATCTTTTGGATCAGTAACTACTGGGGATATAAATTGTTTGAATCAATGATTCTTAGTGACTCCTTTATGCCGAGTGAATCTTAAAGACTCATTAAAATCAGAATCAGAAACTATATTCGTAACTCTTCATATAAATCATAACAATAATGGATGGATTAAACAAGTGTAGAGAAGACTAACTCAACCTTACATTATCCATCCATTGTTCTCCTGTGACTGGAACTAGTGAATTGATCTCCATGAGGATTCAACTTACTGCCTAAGTCCTCACTGCAGTTTGCGAGAGGTGTCAATGAAATAGCTCAGTTACGTGGAAGGACTCCCTGCCAGTTTCATGTTAGTCTCATACTGTCACAAGTTACATGTTTCGGCAACCAACGAAAGCCAGAATTTTTAGGAAACTGGTGCAAGCTTGATTCGCACGGTAAGATCACACACCTGCATATGATGTTCAAGTATTTTTTGTTTTACTTTGCGTATTTATACGGTATTATAATATTTGTCATGCATTTATTTTTCTCGTGACTTTCACTCAAATTATATATATTGTATCATGTTGTAAATTATAGTGTGTTGTGGAAATATAATTACAAATATTTATGAGCATAAAGTATGCACATAGAGGTTTACATGATTGTATATGAAGGAGATGTAAATGCATTCAAATATACACTTACGTGTATGCGGTTATACACACGCGTGCCTCTATGACACATCTATTTTCTGTCCACTTTCGACTTATGGGTTTCCACTGAAATTTGATGCATGGAGTGAGCATCGTTACTCATCTGTGACGGTAACGAGGATATAAGCTCGTTAAAAAGCTCTTTTTTAAGCAAACCAGTTTTTTATGTTTTTACCAACTCTCTGACAAGGGTTCGACAGACGTTAGAGAGAAGTGTGGAGTGTGTTTACTGATTGTTAAACTGTTAATTTAACTTGTACTGAAGAGTTCAATGAATATTGTTCGTGCTTTGACAACAGCAAGACTGACTAGCAACATTTATAAAGTCTTGCGTGTTGAAGAAGATGATGAAACTGTGGCGTGATAAAGATTGTATTTATGACTTGTATTGCTTGATGGCGTGTTCATGTCATGACATTATCATCACGTGTTCGAAACATGATTCGTACTCCTCACCTGTGATGTGCGCGTAGATTGGCGTAACTTAAGTGGGACCATGATTTGGCGTGATTTATGACGTTTCGAGACCAATATTGCTAAGTGAAGTATGCTCGGCGAGTTGACGGAGTAATGCCATACCTGGTTCCGAGCGGAATCTGGTACCGAGCGGAATCTGTACCGAGCGCAACCTGGTACCTGGTACCGAGCGAAGCCTGGTACCTGGTACCGAGCGTAAGATATTATGGTGCCGCTACTCTTATTGTGAAGAACATGTTAAACGAAGCACAAAGGGCATGTCAAGGCTAAACTTTTCACACACACACACACACACACACACACACACACACACACACACACACACACACACACACACACAGGGGGCCTCGTAGCCTGGTGAATAGCGCGCAGGACTCGTAATTCTGTGGCGCGGGTTCAATTCCCGCACGAGGCAGAAACAAATGGGCAAAGTTTCTTTCACCCTAAGTGCCCCTGTTACCTAGCAGTAAATAGGTACCTGGGAGTTAGTCAGCTGTCACGGGCTGCTTCCTGGGGTGTGTGTGTGGTGTGGAAAAAAAAAAAAAGTAGTAAGTAAACAGTTGATTGACAGTTGAGAGGCGGGCCGAAAGAGCAAAGCTCAACCCCCGTAAAAACACAACTAGTAAACACAACTAGTAAACACACACACATTTGGTATGGTACCATTTGGGAGACGAAATTCTTCAAAAATCAGAGAGAAAGACCTGAGGGTTGATATCCCGCCAGACCTGTCCCCTGACGCCTATATCAAGAGGATAACATCAGCAGCATATGCCAGGCTGTCCAACATAAGAACGGCCTTTAGAAACTAGTTTAATGAATCATTCAGAATCTTGTATACCACGTATGTCAGACCAATCTTTGAGTATGCAGCCCCAGCATGGAGTCCATATCTCGTCAAACATAAAACTAAATTGGAGAAGGCTCAGAGGTTTGCCACCAGACTGGTGCCCAAACTGAGGGGCATGAGCTATGAAGAGAGACTACGGGAATTAGACCTCACGTCGCTGGAAGACAGGAGAGTTTGGGGACATGATCACCACATACACGATTCTCAAAGGAATTGATAGGGTAGACAATACAGTTTTTTTTTAACACAAGTGGCACATGCACTAAGGGACACAGGTGGAAATTGAGTGCCCAAATGAACCATAAAATCATTAGAAAGAATGTTTTTAGTGTCAGTAGTTAATAAATGGAATCCATTAAGAAGTAATGTGGTGGAGGCTGACTCCATACACAGTTTTAAGTGTAGATATGATAGAGCCCAGTAGGCTCAGGAATATGTACACCTGTTGATTAACAGTTGAGAGGCGGGACCAAAGAGCCGAAGCTCAACCCCCGCAAGCACAACTAGGTGAGTACAGCAAACTGATTTGGATATACTCTAGAAGTAGTTCGAAAAATGGCTACTAGAATTTAACCCAGGCAAATGCAAAGTTACGAGGAGTAGAACGGGAATGCGAAGACCAGTACAGCAGTATAGGGTGAAGGGAAGACAAATTTTTCAATCCGAAAAGAAAGACCTGGGCGTGGAAATAACCCCAAATCTGATGCCCGAAGCCCACATTAGCAGAGTAACAACAGCTGCATATGCAACACTGGCCAACATCCGTGTATCCTTCAGAAACTTGACCAAAGGTGCTCTCCGGGCCCTATACACAGCTTCATGCAGGTCGGCGTTCAATCCCCGACCGTCCAAGTGGTTAGGCACCATTGCTTATCCCTCCGTCCCATCCCCAAATCCTTATCCTGATCCCTTCCAAGTGCTATATATATAGTCATAATGGCTTGGTGGTTTTCCTTGATTTTCCGTCCCCTCTTGGATATGTAGCCCCAGCATGGAACCCTTACCTGAAATAGGACAAAGATAAACTAGAAATGGTCCAATGATACGCAATAAGACTCGTTCCTGGCCTGAGGGGCTTGAACACTGAAGAAAGGACAGAGAACTAGACCTTACCACACACTAGAGGAAAGGAGAGACAGAGAGGATATGAAAACAACTTATAAGATAATAAGTGAAATTGATAAAATTAGACAAACCAGCGTTGTTCAAAGTAGGGAACAGCAGAACGAGGGGGTCACAGATGGAAACTCGACCCTCAAATCAATCACAGGGACGTAAGAAAGAACTTCTAAAATGTTGCAGCTGTCAATAAGTGGAACTGATTTCACGTAGAAGTCGATGAAGCTAATTCGATTCAAAGTTTTAAAGGTAAACATGAAAAAAGTGTGAGATATGAGTCATTAATCTAAGAACGTTCGGAAGGCGGGACTAAGAGCTTAACACGACCTTAAAAGCCCTTCTAAGTAGGTACACACACGAACGCACAATTGAAAGAACGAGGAGTAGTCATGACCTTAAATCTTATGCCAGAAATTAAAATTAGCTGACTAACGTCAGTGGTGTTAGCCAAACATGTCAACTTCTGTGTAATGTCTTGGCCAAACATGTTACTTCTGTGTAATGTCTTGGCCAAACATGTCAACTTCTGTGTATTGTCTTGGCCAAACATGTCAACTTCTGTGTAATGTCTTGGCCAAACATGTTACTTCTGTGTAATGTCTTGGCCAAACATGTCAACTTCTGTGTAATGTCTTGGCCAAACATGTTACTTCTGTGTAATGTCTTGGCCAAACATGTCAACTTCTGTGTATTGTCTTGGCCAAACATGTTACTTCTGTGTAATGTCTTGGCCAAACATGTCAACTTCTGTGTAATGTCTTGGCCAAATATGTTACTTCTGTGTAATGTCTTGGCCAAACATGTCAACTTCTGTGTAATGTCTTGGCCAAACATGTCGACTTCTGTGTAATGTCTTGGCCAAACATGTCAACTTCTGTGTAATGTCTTGGCCAAACATGTTACTTCTGTGTAATGTCTTGGCCAAACATGTCGACTTCTGTGTATTGTCTTGGCCAAACATGTTACTTCTGTGTATTGTCTTGGCCAAACATGTTACTTCTGTGTAATGTCTTGGCCAAACATGTTACTTCTGTGTAATGTCTTGGCCAAACATGTCAACTTCTGTGTAATGTCTTGGCCAAACATGTTACTTCTGTGTAATGTCTTGGCCAAACATGTCGACTTCTGTGTATTGTCTTGGCCAAACATGTTACTTCTGTGTATTGTCTTGGCCAAACATGTTACTTCTGTGTAATGTCTTGGCCAAACATGCCAACTTCTGTGTATTGTCTTGGCCAAACATGTTACTTCTGTGTATTGTCTTGGCCAAACATGCCAACTTCTGTGTATTGTCTTGGCCAAACATGTTACTTCTGTGTAATGTCTTGGCCAAACATGTCAACTTCTGTGTAATGTCTTGGCCAAACATGTTACTTCTGTGTAATGTCTTGGCCAAACATGTCAACTTCTGTGTAATGTCTTGGCCAAACATGTTACTTCTGTGTATTGTCTTGGCCAAACATGTTACTTCTGTGTAATGTCTTGGCCAAACATGTTACTTCTGTGTAATGTCTTGGCCAAACATGTCAACTTCTGTGTAATGTCTTGGCCAAACATGTTACTTCTGTGTAAAAAAGTCAACTTCTGTAGTTCAGCATCTTATTCAAAGGCGCCAGTCCAGCCTTTTGCATAATCTATTTAAAACTTCCATTGAATATATGCAGTCTAAGCATAGAACCCTTAAGTGAGAGTCTAGAAATGTTCTAAAGACATGCAATAAAGCTCGTGCCTGAGGTGAGGGGTTAGAGCTATAAGGAAAGGCCAAATAAAGTGGCCCTTACCTCACAGGAGGAGATAGGAAACGAGGGAAAAACGATGATAATAGCATGAATGACTCAAAGTGTAATAGACAGAGTAGATAAACATGCATAGTTCACAGCCAAGAATAACAGAACGAGGAAGTATTGACGGGAATTAGATACAGAAATACGACACATTGATAGAAAGAACTTTTTGAAGTTATCAATAAATGGAACTGGTTTTGCGTCGATGTCGTTACCTTGCTATGATTGTAGGGCTTATAGCGTCCCAGCGGCCTGGTCCTCGACCAGACCTCCTTGTTGCAGGACTGATCAACCAGGCTGTTGGACGCAGCTTAACGTATGAAACACAGCCTGGTTGATCAGGTATGGGCAACTTTCGACCAATTATCGTTGTAGGTGCAATTATATAACGAATAACGTGACACGTAAATATGGGAAACAAAGTATGTTGTTACAAGCACGTCGAGGTCAAATATTGGTCTGACTGTTGACGATTTTAGCGATGGTAATGAATAGAAAGAGTAAGTCGA